ACGTTTTCTTTATGCTAACAGTAACACGACCAACATGTCATGCTAACAAGCAACATATACCGAACCGAAAACCGTGACCACGAAACCATGAACCGAACCGTGGATTTTGTGAACCGTTCCACCCCTACCCGATACTGGTCTATGCCCCTGTAACAATAAAGACTAATTCTGGTTCCAGTAGCTTATAAAGAGAACAAAGAGTTAAAACAAGATGCCATTTAAAAAAACAAACAAAAAAAACAGACGTAAAAATAGTTTATATAGTACAAAAAGCATAAAAAAGGAAAAAGTTGTAATGTCCTGGAATATGTTTTCCTTAGATATAGAACTATATACTATAGAGCTAAGGGAAGACTACACAGTAGTTGACTTGGGTTATTGCACTGTAGAAACGTAATGACCATGTAAATACATGAAAATTAAATAAAAATCAACAACATAAATCAATTTTTAAATTAAAAAACCCCTTTTTGATCCTCTATTGTTGAATAATTCATCATATGGACTAAGCAACACATGTATTTAATTGAGTCTTTAGGGGATTAAACTGCTCGTAACTGTATTTATTTTGTTTTTTATCTTTTGGTTGAATTCTGACTTCATATTTTATTTCAACTTTCGCAAATGTTTACATATTATGGACCCATTTGGACCAAACTCTTTGATGCTGTGCCACTCTAGACATACAATGTATGTATTATTTTTTTGTAAAAAAAAACAGGTTAAACAACAGTTAATTACAATAGGCACTAGATATTGTTTTGTCTCATTGATATTTGTGATAAGAAGTAAATTTAAAATCTTGTTTTTAACCTTTAAGTCTTTTAATGGGCAGCCAGTGTCTAAAAACCCAAACTCTGTCAAGGAACAAATAAATGTTTTTATTATTCAGACAAACCTTTAGTTAATGTGTTTTAATGACGGTTCCCCAAACTGATGCTATAAATGAAATTTTACCAACTATAAAACTGGAACGATGAGGGTTTTAAAGCCCTTTAATAGTCCTAATAAGACGAGAACATCTTCTACTGATTAACTAATAATGAATTATAATTTCTCCCTGGAATCTCCGTGTTCAAACATCGACTCGATGGGAAAGAAAAATGGGAAAACTGTCAGTGAAACGGTTAAACCGCACATGCAACAAAACCAGCATCTAAGGTTTATTTTAGTCTGAGTTCATGAGGGAAAGAGTCCAAAAAGGGTAAACTTGACCACATGCCAGTCATGCTCCTCAGGGGTGGAGGTTGCAGGCTGAAAATGGAGCTCCACGCCCCACATAAAGCTGAAAATAAAGACCTGGAGAGCTTTTGGTCACAGCATTGTGTATCACAGGAGCCTTAATATGGAGGAGGGAGGCAAAGCTGGATTATTTTGGGGTTGCCAAAGTAAATAGATGCTAAACAGGCTGGCAATAAACACAATGAAAGAGAGAGATTATTCCAAAAATACATATTTAAAGTTTTTTTTCTTTTGAAGGGATTTTGATGACATCCACATCATAAAGAGGAGATTTTTCTTCAATATGAAAACACTTTGTGTTATAAAGACGAGCTTAAAGGAAACTAACCAAACATTTCCTGTTTGATACGACAGCAGCCCTGAGGCTCATCAGGTCACGTCAATAAATTCACCAGCAGACCTGCTGATATCCAGCATACCACAGCTTATCACTCATTGGAGACCCATTAAAAACCAGCACCCCCCCCCCCCCCCTCATACTCATGTAATAACTCAAGGCCGGCCAAAAGCAGAAAAACAACACAGCCTGCAGTGAAATGATATCAGACTCGTCTTTTCTTCTCAAACAAAAACGCTGCAATGCGAGTGTAACCCGCATAAAATAATCACCCGCATTTTATTTTGGCGGGTCAAACAGGAAAGCACACTTTAAGTTCTGGGTCGAAGGTGAACTCTGATCTCCTCTGTGGCTAGCTGCTCATGAACATCGGAAGCGTTTCATCGAGTGCGCTGTGACAACCACTCGACGATGAGTTGTTGATCCTTTGTCGTTTGTGTTTTTTTTGTAAGTAGAAACTCGGTGGCGACACGCCCCCTTATAACTTATGTATTGGCGTTTTAAAATGGTTTTGTGGTCTAAAAAACCATTCTCTTTTGTTAATTATGTGGCCGAATGAAAGATATGCCGTTAAAGCGTTAGATAAGCCCTTTGATTTTGTCCTTTAGGGATACTTTTAGTTATTTTTCTTATTGTTATTTTGTGAACGGCCAATGGAACTCTGCACTTGGTTTGTTTCTCCATAGTTGCGCAACAAATCCAGAAACTAGGGATGCACGATATAATCG